CCCACCCCCCCCCCCCCCCCCCCCCAATATAACTTGGTAGAAAGGGCTGAGGAAACTTTTGGGATTCAACCATCCAATTTGTGGTCTGACAATTCCCTGCAGCATTGATCTTACTTCTACGTTGCATACAGTTACCATAACCTTAATTTTTCGTTTCTAATTTCTAGAAACCAGAGTAGAACTTATTGCATTGGAAGTAAATCAAAATGACTACAGAAAGGGGGAAACTGTCGTTCCACCTGGAAACACTGACAACAGAGAAAACTTTGTCCCTTCAACTCATTAACTCCATTGTATATTTGTTTATTTCCCTCTCTGGATTCTATTGAAGTCCTTGCGGTCGATATTTTTTCCTCTTTGGTGCAATATTGACATGGACAAACGTCGAGTGGGAAACTCAAAATTTAAATGATTTCACCAACACATTACATGACTTAAGCACGCAAATGTGATTTTCTTCCTCGGATGTTCAAGGGGGAGAGAGAGCTAAAAGATTGTATAAGCTAAGTTAGAGAGAGAAAACCTTAACGACCAACATCAGAAACCATGGTTTATCAACTTAACATGTCTACTTCAAACAAATAACTCTCTTTGTTTGCCTACATGCTATCTAATCCAACATAACCAATCATGTTTTCTTTCTTTTTTACGTCATAGATCTGCAAGTCCCGCACACAATTGTGCAGGGGAAATCAAATCGACCCGCATCATAATGGAGTTTGTTACTGTTGTGACAGACACAATTTTCTTCTCCTACAAGTGTACAAAGGAAATGGATTCCATCACTATCATAGTTTCCATCCAACACACTTCCTAGGAAACACACGAGACTCCAGCCATACCATCTGGTATGGCAGATGCCCAAAGTAGGTTCAGCCACATCCAATCAAGATATCTAAACTTAATTCTGTTCACCAACAAAGATAAAATAAACCATACGCAATCATTTTACAATACAAATTAGCTATCAACTACATCCAATCAAGAAATCTAAACTTCAACCATTTCGCAATACAGGTTAGCAATACTTGCTCAATGTAGTTCACCGGAGTAACATATTTTCCCTCTCTTGCTAGAATCAGACATCGGTCCCCCAATTGTAACACAATATAGCGTTTGTGCATTAGGTATCTCTCAATCTGGACCTTAACACTTGGGAAATTATGAACCGACTATCAATTTCATTAATTAAAATCGTTGTATGAACGTTTTCGTACCTTCACTTCAAAGAGATCAGTACAATACGAAAGGACGCGTGAATTGGAAGATTAATGTCATGTCGCACCTGGAAGACAATGGCGTCGTGGCGAGCCTACAACGTACAAATTGACGATAAATTCGAACTGTGTAGAACAGATTCTAGCATGTGAGCTTGTATCAGAGTAAAGGTATCTTGAATTGATTTGAATCGAATTGAATCGAATCAAATTTGAACAGATATGAGTATGATTTCGCCATCTGGTGTATGTGGAGTTTTAGCTGTTCGGATTGGATTATACGATAATTTGTACACCTAATGGATTCATCATTGTGAAGTATAATCTTTTATGTTCTTTTTTCTTCTGATTATAAAATTCAAACCGAACAAAAAAAAAAATAGTTAAATTATATACAGGTTCAAAATTAAATTTTAATATTATTTGTTGACGACAACACGAAGTATAAGCTTTCATGGTTTTGCATTGAGTTTCCCAAAAGTCTCGCATCAATAGAGATAGTATTATTTGATTATAAACTGATAAATATTCTCTAAATTAGCTAGCTGATAGCAATAAGAAATCTGATAAAGAATATTATTTCCAGTGCTATAGGATACGATTGATTAGCCGATGTTTCAAAATTTAAAGTTGGTTCATTAGAACCATATAAACCGATACCCAAAAAATGGAACCTCCTGCAGTGTACAAAATAAACTTTGTAGCTGAATACAACCGTTTCTTCCCTCCCCACATTGATAGAAGTAGATAAACGGGAATTAATTCTAACTCCCATATATAAAAAATAGTAAAAGGTCTCGAGCAGAAAATGATCCTATTTGACCGCTATACATTGCTAACATTACAAAATGGAATAATCGGGAATCTCGAGCAACTGGTCAAGCTGCTAAAGTAGCTAAAGTGGTGATAAACCCCGTCAGTAAAATGGGTCCTAAGGAAAGTCTGTTGCTTCATTATTATATTATTATATTATTCAATTCCAATAATAAAATACGTATAAAATAAATAAATAAATAATCAAATTATATGTCTGTTTAATCTTTCATATCCAAATTGGGGGCAGTTGAAGCCATGTGATTCGTTCACATTCAACGTACATGCTTAAATATTTCTAATTATATTTCAATTAATGTTTATTGTAGTATTAAAATATTCCCATAAACTATTAATTATTAGTTATAAAAAAAACTAATAATTATTAGCTCTTACCATGTTCTTATATAAATATTTATTTAAAAAAAAAGTTTATTTATGAGTATACCATGTGCAATAATCTATAATTGCAATTTTTTAAAGGATATTTATCAATGTTACATTATAACAATAATTTCTAACCAATTTTATTTAAATATTTAAAATTTATTATACTTCCGAACCTAACTTGATTTCTGAAATTGGCTCGAATTCGTGAATGATACATTTGATTTAAAAAGTTATTCAATTGAGTTGACAATTCAGTATCAAATTGTAACTAGAGATGTCCAGCTACCTATTTTCTTCTCCATCCCCGTGAAATGCTCCTTTTGTTCTTGTGGAGATTAGGGCAAGGAATCCCGCAAAGAACTTATAAGGATAAAGTGGACATCTCTAACTTAACTATAATTCTTAACCTAACTTGCTTTCCAAAATAACTCGAGTCGAGTTTATTGGCAGTACATTTAATTTAAAAAAAATTAATGGACTTGACAACTTATTCTAATATGGTGTGTGCCGTATCAAAACTAAATTATACATCTCGACCTGATCTCTTGATTTTTGAATTTAACTCTCATTTGATTCCGATAATTATTCAATTGAGTTGACAGCCTATCTTAATCAAAATCACTTTAATAATGAAGTGGATATAGTACACCATCAATTAATACTATATTTTCATTAATTTCTCCATTTGGAGGGCCCTCCAATGGCCAACCACCGCTCAGCAGCCCACCCCTTTTCCCTCACTATAAATTCAAAACCCTAGCACTCTCAAAATCCAAATCGAACACTCAAATCACATCTATTTTCTCTTCAATCAATACTCAGATTCAGGAATGGGATTTCGTCTTCCATCGTCTTTGATTCCTCAGGCCAAGCAATTGCTGAAGAGGAGCTCGGGAAATGCATCGGCGGTTCCGAAAGGTCATGTGGCTGTCTACGTTGGAGAGTTTCAGAGGAAGCGATTTGTGATTCCGATTACGTATTTAAATCATCTTTCGTTTCAACAGCTTCTAAATCGAGCGGAGGAAGAGTTTGGATTTGATCATCCAGAAGGCGGTTTGACGATTCCTTGTGGCGAAGATGCATTTATCGATCTCACTTCTAGATTGCAATCCTCTTAAATCCATGAAGAACTAGGACGATTCTCGATTTTTGCCTTTGGCTTTCTCTTTTTCCTTTTTTTTTTTTCTTGGAGATCCTTATGTTGTCGCTGATTTTTGCATTCTGACTGTTGTTAGAATGTTGATGGAACCCAATTACACTGCCTTCGGATGTGTAATTAGCGGTGTTGGAATGGTGAATTTTTCACCAAAATTTCTAATGCAAATACAACTTTTTTGTATCATTGTCTTGTTTATGCAATGATGAATTAGCATTATACCTAAAAAATTTACTGTTCAATCCAAAAGTAGCATTAAGATTCAAAGTTCTTCAAAAGTAACTATTCTGTTGACATGAACATAATAATTATGGAAAGTTTTATGAACTCCCAGGTTTTTGTTGGTACCTGTTCATGATTTAAGACGGGCAACAAATCAGAAGACCAGGAACAATTGAATTAAGGGAGTGGATATTAACAACTTTTCAACTGTAGTACATTAAATCCAAGTGTCTTACTGAGAATTGATACACTGTTCTGTGCCATACTTGTTCACAGTAGGCTGTTTCTAGGCCTATTTTCAATACCAGAGGTCCATTTTTAGCCATTGGCCACTGCATTGGGTCCTCTCACATGTAGATGTTCCTCCTTATTTAAGGGAGTGGATAGGCATGGTGACCAACCGTCCCACCAAGTGCCAGGTGAGTATCAAGAAACTAGAAGCGTTTTAGAAATCCAAAGCTCCAAAATGGAGAAATACCACTGAACATTTCTTGTAAAAACTCCCAAATTCATCTCAAACTCAAAACCATTAGGTCGACAACGATACGTAACGAGTCTAAACGAACAATATCTGTAGGCTTGCACGGTCACAAATGAAGTCACCAGATATCAGGTGGTGTGCAAACGAGGACACTGGACCCCAAGGGGGTGGATTGTGAGATCCCATGTCGATTGGAAAGGGAACGAAACATTCCTTATAAGGGTGTAGAAACCTATCTGCTAGCGGTGGGCTTGGACCATTACAAATGGTATCAAAGCCAGATATCGAGTGGTGTGCCAACGAGGACACTAGGCTCCCAAGGGGGGTGAAGGACCGTTACAAATGGTATCAAAGCCAGATATCGAGTGGTGTGTCAACGAGGACACTAGGCTCCCAATGGGGGTGAATTGTGAGATCGCACGTTGGTTGGAAGGGAAACGAAGCAATCCTTATAAGGGTGTGGAAACCTATATGCTAACGGTGGGCTTGAATTGTTACAAATGGTATCAGAGCTAGATACTGGGTGTGCCAATAAGGACGCTGACCCTAAGGGGGTAGATTGTGAAATCCCACATTGATTGGATTGGAAGGGGAACAAAACATTCCTTATAAAGGTGTAGAAACTCTATCTAACAGAAACCTTTTAAAGTCTTTTAAAACCTTGAGGTTGACGACGATACGTAACGAGTCAAAGCGAACACACATTGCACGTTGTTGTTGGTTGTCGTGAGTCACGAGCCATCATTGCCATATCACGACGATGGGGAGAGACCGATCTCTCAAAATATTCATCTTCTATGCACTTTGAGTCATGAAGTAACAAAAGCAAACAAAACTTCGACGCAATGTGGTCTTTTAGAGTCCCACAAACCACAATGTATTATAAGATTCATCTTCTACGCATTGTGGTCTCAAAATATTCATCTTCTACGCACTTTGAATCATGAAGTAACAAAACAAACGAAACTTTGACGCATTGTGGTCTTTTAGAGTCCCACAAACCACAATGTATGATAAAATTCAATCCATTTTAGAGTTGAGCTATGAAAGTCCAGCTATGCCAGCTGCTCAAAGTTAGATGCAACTACTTAACTCCATTAGACAGTGAAAAGCATAACTCATCCTTGTTCCATTGTTTGTCTTTACAACTCAACCAGCTGGTCATTATGGTGGACTGATATGCACCCAAACACGATATAATTTTTGATTTGATGAATACATTATCCACCCTGTTCCCCATTCAACCTGAAAATTAGGTTCAATCATATAGCCATAAGCTCTTTCCTAGAAAGTCAGATCACATGGCTGTGCAATTTCCACTAGTCTTTGTTTTGGATGTTCTTAGTGTGCGTGTGATTTGGATGTTTTTAGCGTGTGTGAGAGAGATGTAGAGTTCTTTTCTATGTTGATCAAAGCGATGAAGGGGTCTTCCTAACAACAATCTTGAATGATCATGGTTACAGGCCCAAGCTTGCGATCAAGTTAGGGTCTTTCGTAGGTGGAGGTAGACAGTGTTTGTGTGGAGGAAGGAGAATTTTCTTTTGACTTATTTTGAATAATTGTAAGAATCAGATAGAAGGAACCTTAATACCTAAAGATTAAATTGGAAATTTGTAGAAATTTGTACGTACTATTTTCATTGATGTTTATAACTATTTATACAAGTTGTATAATGACCATTGTTGTATCAATGGAACTATGACTCATCGTGGAGGAACGAAAAATAGAAATGAAAGTGGAGTCTTTACAACCATTGTTATATCAATGGAATCATGACTCAATCATGAAAGATCATCCTCCTAAAACACCTTAGAATACGAAAAACTG